TCTAGTTGTTGTTGTTGAGTGCGCTCGAGTCACTTCCGACCCATAGCGACCTTGTCATAGGGATTTCAAAGAGCGGTGGTGTGCTTGAACCACTGACCCTGTGGTTCAAACTGACTTTGCAGTCCAGCGCATTAACCCACAGGACTCCAAAAGTCTAGTAGCTTCTGTTAATTCTTTTTTTGGACCACAGTTGCTTAAGTCCCAAACAAGTAACATTAAAACTATCAAATAAACAGCATTCCATTTCCATTCTTTCTCTCGAAATTACTTCAAACTGTTTTTTGTTCTAAGTAGTTCATTCCTGGAAAAAGATAAATTGTTGAAGTAAAAATGGCACACAGTCCAGTTCCTGGATGAGTCACTGTTCGTAATTAAACGATGGCAAGCACTGCAAAGACGAACAGCAGCAGAACAAAATCCAACAACTTCAGCAAGTTCTCAGTTTTGTTTTAAAAAGAAACATTAGCAAACATCTGGGAAATTTTATACAACTAACATGGTATAAGGTAAGTATTGGAGGTTATGAGAAATGGAAAACTATTTCTATAATTTTGAATGAAGAATTAATGATAACTACAGTGTTTAGGCTTAATGAAATGGGATTTCTGTTCTTTTTTTTCAGAGCACCCCTGGCTTAACTACCCATGGAAGGGTAGTGTTTGACTCCAGTCTGGCCCCAGCTGGTTCACAGACTGATTAAGCAATTCTATACCTACAACTGATTTCACAAGTATTTACATCATAATTCATTGTATTAAGGTGTATTTTGTCTTCAGATTCTGCCACGTTCAAGGATTCAACAAATTCTATTTTGAGATGTTTCAAACTATGTACTACTTTGAATTGGGATGAAGGCAGCAAAGTGTAATTAGAAGTACGGAGGGTTAGTTCAAATTGAGACCCAAACCCTTAGATGTCATCCCTGCTTAACAGTTTGTTTCTTTCGTCCTGTTTCTTCAACATAAAACAAAGGATGTCCATTTCTAGATGACAATGAAGTTCTCTTCAAGCTCTATATTTGATTCTAGTAAGCTGTTCTATATACATGCCATTGTTGTTGTTAAGTAACGTTGAGTCTGTTCTGACCCATAGCGATCCTGTATAGGGTTTCAGAGGAGTGGCTGGTGGGTTTGAACCGCCAACCTTGTGGTTCAAATTGACCTTGAGATCCAGCATGCAATCCTGCAATGCCACACCATGACTCCTGTATACACACACACACACACACAAACAAAAAAACAACATATATGTTGTTGTTAATTGTCATCAAATTGGTTCCAACTCAGTGACTGGTAGGCTTGAATTGCCGAACTTGCAGTTCAAACTGACCATGCAATCCAGTGTATTATCCTACAGTGCCACCACAGGACAAACTATCTCTCTCTCTCACTGTGCTACCAGAGCTCCACACACACACACACACACACACACACACACACACACACACACACACCGTAGTGGTTACGAATTGGGCTGTGAACCGCAAGGTCAGCAATTCAAAACTACCAGCTGCTCCACGGGAGAAAGATGAGGCTTTCTGCTCCCGTAAAGATTTACAGCCTCGGAAACCCTTACAGGGTCGCGATGAGTGGGAACCGACTCCATGGCATATAACAACAACTATATATATATATATATATATATATATATAGTTGTTGTTGTTGTTGTTGTTAAGTACCGTGGAGTCGGTTCCGACTCGTAACCACTACGCTACCAGAGCTTATATATATATATTGTTGTTGTTGTTGTTAAGTGCCGTCGAGTCAGTTCCGACCCATAGCGACCCTGTATATATGTATATATATATATTTTGTTGTTAGGTGCCATCAAGTCAGTATCAACTCATAGCGAGCCTATGCACAACAGAATGAAACATTGCCATATATATATATATACACACACACATATATATATACACACACACACACATATATATACACACACACACACACACACACATATATATATATATATAATGGAATCCACTCCATGGGAGAAAGATAAGGCTGGCTGCTCCTGCAAAGATTTATAGTTCTGGAAACCTTATGCAGAGTCACTGTGCGTTGGGGCCAACTGATGGCACTTGGCAACTTTGAAATGACAACAGTATAAGCTGTTCTAGGTAAGAAAACTGAGTTTTATTCTCTCCACATTTTTGATAAAGATGAATTACAAATAAGCCACCTACAAATTATTTTATAGGCACATTTGTACACCAGTGTTTTGCTGGGCTACTACTGAAAAGTTCCTTCTACCATTGTACTATATAACAGTGGTTACTGTTGTTAAGTGTCGTCAAGTCGGTTCTGACTCATAGCAACCCTGTATAAGGTTTCTGGAGTACTGGTACGGCACTATCGCATCAGCACTGGACTGCTAACTACAAGGCTGGTGGTTCAAACCCATCAGCTGCTCTATGGAAATCCTATACAGGGTTGCTGTAAGTCAGTTCTGACTCAACGGCATATAACACCAACAACAACAACATGGAGTTTCTAAAGAGTAGTTGGTGGGTCTGAACTGCTGACTTTGTGGTTAACAGTTCAGTGTTTATCCTACAGCACCATACCAGGACATATAATGGTAGTGGGGGAGGGTTAAACCTTTGACCTTAACTTCAGCAAAGCATGCAACTAGTTCATGAAGTAATGATGAGGAAGTACAGCATATATATTGTCCACCAACTTCCTCTCACTACAGAAATAGAGAAATGAGGTTTTTCTTCTTTTTTTTTTTGAAAAGGTAGTTGCTACATTTACCATAACTATTGAATTTCTTCAATACTTTAATTTCCGTCTTTTTCCCACTGTAGTCTGTGTCAAGCAAGAATCTATTTACACTGACTACACTAGGGAACTGGAAGAGTGACGCTGGGAGAACTTTAAGTCTGAAATTAAGCATCATCACCCTGAGCAGGAGAATCGGATTTGGCACAAACTACAGGTAAGGCTGATCATTTCTTCATTTTTAACTTAAAAGTTAACTGTATAGAAATTCTAAAAGGATTAAGCAATTTTAATTGTGAAAACCAATCATTAAGAAAGGTAGTCAGCAAAGTAATTTTATAGATATGCTGTATGAGGTGGTCTAGCTGACAAAAGGATACTATTGCTCTTAATACAGGCATGATGACCTTTACAGATTTGGGTATAGCATGTATTACTATTGAAACAAGGCAGGGACTAGTGCTTTTATTTAATATCATAAAATGAAGCTTCATTATCTATATAAATTGAAAACATACTTTGAATAGAACACATTTCTTTCAAGAGATAAATTGGCTCGCTTCAGTCTCTATTCAACTGATTCATAAACTGTGGGGTTACAGATTGTTATGAGCTGTGGAGTCAGTTCTGACTCATAGCGACCCTGAACAGGCTTTGATGCTATAAATCTTTACGGGAGCAGAAAGCCTCATCTTTCTCCCACGGAACAGCTGGGAGTTTTGAACTGCTGACCTTATGGCTCGCAGCCTGATTCATAACCACTACGCTACCAGAGCTTATAATTGGGTCTATATACTAACTGCAACCAGATTCTAATTCTCCAGGCTGCACTAGATTCATATACAAACTCATTCTGGAGCATATAAATTATTTTCTAAATAAATATTTATACCCAAATACCCAAACCAACTGCCATAGAGTTGATTCCGACTCATAGTGACCCTGTAAGACAGAGCAGGACTGCTCTATAGGGTTTCTAAGACTGGAAATCTTTATAGAAGCACACTTTCTCCTGTGGAACAGCTGGTGGGTTTGAACCACCAACCATTCAGTTGTCAGGAAAATAAAACGATAAAGATATTAATTAAGAGTTTCAGATACTGGAATCTAGAGACACTACATAGCCCACAAGTTTCCAAGTCTTTGGGTGGGAGTTTCTAAATTTAAAAGAACAATTTCAAAATTTTGATATGATATTTTGGGGGGAAATATTTCTGTAATCTAAGAAGCAGAAAAGAAATATAACTGTGATTCACCAAGAAAGGAGACCATCATATAAGATCATTAGAAAGCTGTATGAAGTAAGATTTTTATGTTTATCAAAAGAGAAAACATAAAAACCCCAAAAGATTGAGGAACCCTGCTCGAGGATGGAGGGTGTGGTGTATAGAAGCTACAATGATGTAGCAGATAGATTAGCATTCATATTTGATCAGAGTCTAGAAACTTGTTTTTGTTAGTCTCACCGGAAAGAAATGAGGAAATAAGGTGAAAATAAGTTTGTATGTGAATCTTCAGCACTTCCATGTACCCTTCATATCAAGAAAGATTTAAAAATAAGGCATAAAACATGGCCTCTGAAAGACCCAAAGATGCCAGGTTAACACATGAGGGACATGGACACACGAGAGACCTTGAACCAACCAGGAGAGCAACTATCCTGTTGCTAGATACCGTCCATTAAATTCCAATTCATAGAAACTCTATGGACAACAGAACAAAACAATGCCCAATCCTGAGCCCTCCTCCCAATTGTTATGTTGCTGCCACTGTGTCAATCTATCTTTGCATATCATTTTAAATTCACTTTTTAATGAAGTGTACATTAAATATGTAAAATGAAAAATTAATGATATCCTGGATTTGGTGTCTATCTGTGGTTACTACACATCCTTTGGTTCAATTCAGGACCCTGCCTGAGTTTATGATTTTACAGAATTAAGTTTACTTGCAAAATATGAAGATATTATTCTAATAGTATTAGATTATAGAGGAATGTTTTAGCATAATCATGACAAGATACCATTTTGAAAACCATTTACATATAATTAATAAGCTAATTAAAAGTCTGTCCTCTGTTAATATGGCCACAAAATACAGTACTTTCGTTTACCTGCGATGTATTATTTGCATGAGCCTTAAAACTTGATTATATTTCTAGGCAAAGTCAATCTCACTTACAAACTGCTTTATAAGAATGAAAATTCCTCTAATATAAAATGATAAATACTAGGCATTTAACTATTTGCAACAAATTTTGTTTTTGTTTTTTAGACAAAGGAACTGTCCACAATAATCAGCTTCTGGCATTTATTCCAACCGGACAATCGTGATTTAAAAGGTGAGAAGGCATCCATACCTTCCTTTCCATCCAATATATTTTTATTACAAACTTGTTTCAGCTAATGCTTAAAAAAACCAACTATTCAGCTTAAATGCTGTCTATAATTTTAATCGTAAACATCTGCAATTCTGTTCTAGCTCCTGTGCTAAAATTCAAGAAAATCTGGCATAAATGAGGAACAATTCAACATGTATTCAACCATCCATGATCTCTTCCATGGCTTTACCAATTATTTATACCTTCCTTTGTATCGTGGGTCTCTTTGGAAACTCTCTCTCGCAATGGATATTTTTAACGAGAATTTGTAAGAAAACATCAACCCACGTCTACCTTGTACATCTTGTGACTGCTAACTTACTAGTGTGTAGCGCCATGCCTTTCATGGTTATCTACTTCCTGAAAGGTTTTCAATGGGAATACCAATCTGCACAGTGCAGGGTGGTTAATTTCCTGGGAACTCTAGCTATGCATGTCAGTATGTTTGTCAGCCTCTTAATTTTATGTTGGATTGCCATAAGCCGCTATGCTACCTTAATGAAAATGGATTTGACACAAGAGGCCACTTCATGTTATGAGAAAATATTCTATGGACATTTACTGAAAAAATTTCGTCAGCCCAGCTTTGCCAGAAAACTGTGCATTTACATTTGGGGTGTTGTACTGGGTGTAATTATTCCAGTTAGCATATACTATTCAGTTGTAGAAGCTACAGAAGGAAAAGAGAATCTGTGCTATAATCGACAGATAGAATCAGGAGCCATGATCTCCCAGACTGCTAGTCTCATTGGAACCATGTTTATCGGATTTTCATTTTTAGTAGTACTAACCTCATACTACTCTTTTGTCAGCCATCTCAGAAAAGTAAGGACTTGCACATCTGTTACAGAGAAAGACTTCATTTACAGATCTGTGAAAAGGCATCTTCTGGTCATCCAGACTCTACTAATAATTTGCTTTCTTCCATATAGTATTTTTAAACCCATTTTTTTTGTTCTACACCAAAGGGAGGATTGTCAGCAATTGAATTACTTAATAGAAATAAAAAACATCCTCACCTGTCTGGCTTCAGCCAGAAGTAGCACAGATCCCTTTATATTTCTTTTATTAGATAAAAAATTCAAGAAGACATTACATAATCTCTTCACAAAATCTGAATCACCACACATACAACCATATGGTTGACTTTTAAAAGGTCAACATCACAATAAGAACAACATTCTTCCAGGAATACTGAGCTACATGTTAAGATGTCATAACTTGGTTGATGACATGCACTGAGAAAACCTCTTTGGTTTAAAATATAAATAAATAAATATGTATATTCACTAAACTTGATTTATAGTTGTACTGAAAGTTGAGGCGGCAGACTTTCGCAGACAAAAATCAAGCATAGTCAAAGAATCCTATTGTGAAGCATATGAAACCAACAAACCAGTTTCTGTTTAAGCTCAGCTGTGGATGCTGAGTTCAGAATACAATTCACAACTGCAGAATAAAGAAGCAAGTGGTTTATGACTCCTCTGCTTTTTAGTAGTTAGAATACAAGACCCTGTCTCTGGTGTTTGTTTTACTTTTGTATATTTTTTAAATGACCAAAGGAAAAAGAACAGAATAAGAAACTCCCACATTCTAAGTTACAACTCTTTGTTTCTTCCCACCTGGAGCAAAGGAAAGTGAAGAAAACTAAAGACTCAAAGAAGCAATTAATTCAAAGAACTGAAGACCCACAGGCACCACAGCCTCCTTTAGCTTGACAACAGAAGAACTAGATGGTGCCAGGTTACCACGACCTACCATTCTGGTTAGGATGGGAGAAATGCAGAACAAAACTCATTCACAAAAAAGACCAGACTTCTCTGACAGAGACTGGAGGACTCTCCTAAGACTGCTGACATAGTCACCCTCCTAATTTTGAGCTGAAGTCAATCCTGTGGCTGGCTACTTTTCAACCAAATGATAGATTGGCCAATATACAATAAAACCATTGAAAAATGTGCTCCTTGGACAAAATCCACTATATGAGAATAAAATGGCAACATTTGCCCCAAAACAAAGATGAGAAAGCAGGGAGGGGCAGGGCAACTGGAAGAATGGAACCAAGGATCCAAGGGTGGAAATGGGAATAGCACTAACAAACACATTGTGGGGGTTTCAACTAATGTCACAGAATAATTTGTGTATGAATTAGTGAATGGAAAATGAATTTGCTATGTAAACTGTAACCTAAACAATAAAAAAATTTCAATTGAAAACAAACACTGTAAATATAAATCATTTGTGCTTCATGCAAGAGTCCAAAACACCCTATTATACAAAAACAGTTTTTGTTTGTTTAAGAAGCCCTGGTGGCGCTGTAGGATAAGCAGTGGACTGCTACCCCATAAGATCAGTAGTTTAAACACCCAGTTGCTTCTCAGAATAAAGATGAGGCTTTCTGCACACGTAAACACTTACAGCCTGGAAACCCTATATGGGGTTGCTGTGAGTTGAAATTGACTAGGTGGCCATGGGTTTTGCATGTTTGATGTTGAACCACATATCTAAATTTCAATCTGCATTTTAATATATATCAGCAAGCATGAGAGATGTAATAATTTATAAGATATTTGTTGACAAAAGCATGCTTTTTCTTGCATAAGTAATTAAAAATAACTAAGCTAACTAATGCATGCAGTCTGCTTAGTATACTGCCCTGATATATAGAAAACATGTTAGCTATTATTCTTATTAAATTGTTATGGGAAAAAGTTTAATTTCTTCTAACATTTTGTTGTTGTTGTTAAGTGCCGTCGAGACAGTTCTGACCCATAGCGACCCTGTATAAGGTTTCTGAGGAGCAGCTGGTGAGCTTGAACCACCGACCTTGCAGTTCAAACGGCGTTGCAGTCTGGCACATTAACCCACAGCGCCACACCAGGCCTCCTCTTCTAACATAAGTACTATTAAATACTATGTGAAATAAGCTTTATAATATAAACTTAAACAACGTTGTTATTAAGTGCCATCAAATCGATTCCAACTCAAAGCACTTGTATAGCATTTCAAAGGAGCGACTGGTGGGTTTGAACCACCGACCTTGTGATTAGCAGTCTAGTGTTTATCCTACAGCACTAGACCAGGAACTCACTTAAAAGAAAATATTTATTATATAAAATGGGAGATTCCATACGTACTTAAGTCTTTTATAAATATATGACAACAATGCAGTATAAAATCCAAGGTTTTATCAAAGTATTTGGCATGCGCTCACTCATGTTACTGGAATGTTGTTGTTATTAAGTGCTGTCAAGTTGGTTCCGATTCATAGTGACCCTGCATAGGGTTTCAGAGGAGCAGCTGGTGGCTTTGAACTGCTGACCTTGTGGTTCACAGTCCAGTGCTGATCCTACAGAAGTCCATGCTACTGGGATAGGCAATATTAATTTATTCTCATATTTAAGTAGATACGACTTATACATATGTTTAAATATTTGGATGAGGTACTGTTGTGACAATAAAATGCAATGTAATGTCATTATATATCAGTGTTAAGAGGCTTGGTAGCGTAGTTGATTACAAGCTGGGCAAACTGCAAAGTCAGCAGTTTGAAACTACCAGTTGCTCGGAAGGGAGAAAGATGAGGCTTTCTGCTCCCGTAAAGATTTACAGCCTCGGAAACCCTGTACAGGGTCGTTATGAGTCGGAACCGACTCCACGGCACGCAACCACCGCCACCACCACATGTCAGTCTACCACATTTCCTATATTTTCTCTATAGTCAGTATGTTATTAATGACAAAACAGCAGATAAATTCAATTTTTGTTAAGTGAATGAATGATATGACAGAACAATAGTATTAAAGGCAACTAAATGGTCTCTGGAGTTGGACTCTCTTCTAAATTCCCTCCAGATTCCAGAGCTGCTTTAGCTGGACAATCTTATGCAAATTACTTACCCCTTTAAGTGTTAATTTCTTAGTTTGTAGAATCCAAACATTACTACCTAAACGACAAGTCCTGTGGTGTTGTGGACTAATGCACTGGACCCCAAGGTCAATTTGAACTGCAAGGTCTACAGTTCACATTCGGACTTGGTGCCACTTAACAAGAACAGCCAACAACAGGTAAATCATATGATATACTATTATGAGTTACTATCATTTACTAAATAACTGTTGTATGCCAGGTACTCTGCTACATGCTTTACAAGTACTGTTCTAATCATCTAAACTTTATTGTATACCAATTTGTTGTTGTTGTGAAGTGCCATCGAGTTGGTTCCGACCCATAGCTACCCTGTACAGGGTTTCCAAAGGAGCACCTGATGAACTTGAACCACCAACCTTGCAGTTCACATGGCTTTGCGGTCTGGCGCATTAACCCACAGCGCCACACCAGGATTCCTGTATACCAATTTACAGATGAAAAAAAAAGAGTCGAAAGCATGACACCCTAATTTTCTTCAGCATCGAAATAAACTATTTAAAGAGTAAGCTTTTCTTAATGGTCATCTCCTTCTGACATGTAATCTTGTCAGTAAGACAAACTGATTGTGACTTTATTTTGTATTATATACATTATAATTTTACTCCTCAGGAGAAAGATGTGGGTGTTTGCTTCCAAAGAAATTACAGCCTTGGAAAACTTTTGGGGGCAGTTCTACTCTGTCCCCTAGGGTAAGGATGAGTCAGACTCAAAGCAATAGGCTTGGTTTGGTTTGGGCTTTACTGCCCATGATACTTGTATTCTCTTCCCAGAAAAGAACCAGTTAATAACATCAACCATTAACTGTTAGATCACTTTGTTAAATACTGCTTAAAGACTCATGTATTCTTTGCATGTTAATACTTCTGTACTCAGAACGAAGTTTAAAGTATATCCACATAGCACTTCCAAAGCCTTTCCTTTCATGGCATGGTTTATTTCTGAATTTAAAACGTAGAAGCAATACACTGTACATATTCTCCAAGAGACATTTATTCCAAATCATTGGAGGTCATTCCAGCACATTTGTATAATTTTAATTAAAAGGGTAGAAATGGAAAAATAGTAATTATTCTCCCTTTTTACTTCAGTGCTTAACTGAAAGAAGAAAATGGTCAAAAAGTCTGAAAATACAAAGTCTGGTGTCAAATATTTCCAGTATGCATTCCTGAGTCCTTCAGTTTTCACTAGTCATTGTGGTTGTGACGTGCCAGGGAGGCGGTTCAAACTCATAGCAACCCTGTATAGGGTTTCCGAGAATGAGCTGGTGGGTTTGAACTGCCAACTTTTAAGTTCAAACTGACCTTGTAGTTTGTTGCTTTATCCAACAGCACCACACCAAGACTCCTCTCTAGTCATACCAGTAGTTTTAGAAGAACTAAGAAACTGATCGACATTTTGTATTTAACATGCTGTTGTTAAGTGCTGTTGAGTAGAGTTTTAAATTTAAATTAAGAACTCAGAAGATGACTGATATTTTTCATTTAACATATTGTTGTTAAGTGCTATCGAGTTGGTTCTAACTCAGTGACCTTGTATAGGGTTTCTGAGGGGCGACTGATGGGTTTGAACAGCCGACCTTATGGTCAACAGTCCAGGGCATATCCTACAGTGTCACACTAGTACTTCATTTAACATGCTGTTGTTAAATGCCCTCAAGTCAGGTCCAACTCACAAAGACCCGGTATAGGGTTTCTGAGGAGTGGCTGGTGAGTTTGAACAGCTGACCTTGAGGTCCAGTGCTTATCCTACAGTGCCACACCAAAAGCTACATATATTATATACTGAGAGCCCTGGTGTGGAGCTGTAGGATAAGCACTGGACTATTAACTGCAAGGCTGGCAGTTCAAACCCAACAGCTGCTTTCGGAAACCCTATATAAGATCACCATGAATCAGAACCAACTTGACAGCACTTAACAACAACAACATACTAAATTGAAGTGAGCCCTGGTGGTGCAGCGAGTTAAGTGTCAGCCTGCTAATCACAGGTCAATGGTTCAAACCTACCAGTCACTCCCAAGTAGAAAGATGAGGCTGGCTGAGTTGGGACTATACTAGACAGTAGTGGGTTTGGTTTTTTTGTGTTTTGTTTTTTTTTTTTGAAAAATACTCTATTGAGTCTCACTGCACTTAGGTTTTTGTTTTTGTCTTTAAATATAACTTCAATAAATATTTTCTCCCACATCTTCTTTCCTTTTATTGAAAAAAAGTTTTAGAAAATGGCAGT